AAAAAAAAAAAAAAAAAAAAACCTTGGTATCTTGCCATAGGTAAGGGAGGAGAGAGAGGGCATGGAGGATCACATGAGGATTGGACATCACTTTATCCACATTCCTTCAGGTAAAATTCGGTCACATAACCAAACCTAACTATAAGGAAGGCTGGAAATTGTAGTCTAGCTGTATATTAAGTGGGGGTAGAAGAAATGACTTTTGGTGAACACAATAGCACTTCTGCCCTGTCCTCTTAAATGAAGCCACAGTACCACGGCCAGAAAGAGGTTGGAGGTGAAGACATGCTGCCTTAGATACTGGGAGAAAGTCCACTGTCATAGGCAGACCAACATACTCCCCCAACAGTAAGCAGTAGAGGCAGGAGGTAGAAAAGTGTCCAGAGGATAGGACAGACACAGTGGCATAAAATTTAGGAGCAAAAATGCTCAGAAAGTCAGGCATGGAGGCAAGAGGAATTTGGGAATTCAGTGATCCATAGCAGAGTCCAAGTCACCTAATTAGTATTCAGGAAGACCTAGGGCTAGGAGTGGAGGATAAGAGCGGCCAGGCATCTCTACCTCGAGTGAGATAACCCAGAGCAGGAAGGTTACATTACAGAGATGAGGGCTGCACACAAAGGTAAAGAGGAAGGATTATTTGTGAGGTGACTCCATCATGAACGGAACGCTGAATAAGAGCTATCTAAATTCCTCCTGTCCAAGGTCAGGAATGGTCCTAGAGATGTGCAGAGCCTATAGACAGGGGTCAACTATCAGGAGAAGCTCATAGGAACCTGTTCAGGCCTGATATGATCCACCCTCAAATGTTACCAGTAACTTCATACTCTGTTTCCCACTCACAGACAACCACCCCAATGAATCCCAGCTTCCTCACAAACATCCTGGGATGAAAAAGGGCAATGAATCAGTACAAACCCCTCAGAGAACAGAGCAAATGCTTCACTAACAGTTTGGGGTGGCATACTCGTTTATAAGTAATAAATAATAATTAAAAGTAACAGCTGACATGTGTAAGACATAGTTCTTGGGCTTTCATATATATTTACCCACTTAATCTTGACAAAAGTGTTTATTTGAAGGAGGTACCTCTATTACCTCAGTTTTACAGATTAAAAGCTAAGCAATGAGGCTTATATGTAACTTGCTCAAGTGAGTGGCAGAGGTCTGGCTCCAGAGTCAATGACCTTCCCCACTATGCATACTGCTTTTCTTAGAAAGTCAAATTTGGCCAGAATTTCAGATAGCATTTTACTCCCTTGGTGAAGGTGCCAGTGAGGACACACCATGTAACGCTCCCCAGAGATCTCACCCACCATTTTGTTTCCAGAGAACTGCTCCATCCTTTTGGAATGAAGACTAAGACACGGATATCCAAAGAATGTCTTGGACAGTTCACTGGAGTGGCTATCCTCTTAAAGAATGTGTGTTCTGGTGCAGTAATGAGCTTTGAAGTAAAATAATGTCACAAATGAATGCAGACTGTCAGCGTTGGAAGGGCCACCAGTCCTCCCTATTTTAGTGCAGTGAGGTTGAGTAGCTTGCATAATGTCCCTTAGGAATAAAAGCAGGTTGTCCTAAGGTCCATGGTAAAATACTCGCCTCCTTACTTCAAACCATTTTCTGTACTCAGCACACAGGATCATGAGGGTTAAGAGCCAGAAACTGCTGACAGTAATGTGACTGCATTCATTCTTAAGTCGCTAAAGGGACTGTGAAAAAGAAAAGGGTTCAACTTCACAGAATTTATTTTCTATGAAATGAGAAATCCAATGTCTGATATAACTCACCAGGAAGTCTACCCATCCAGGCATTTATTCATTCCTCCCAGCCTTTATCCTACCATTTATTCATCTGTCCGCCCATTCATCCATTCAGGCATTAATTCATTCATTCCAAAATATCTACTCTGCCAAAATTTATGCTAAATCCTGGGTATTTTTAGCATGCTCAATCAGTAGTTTTCTTTCTGCCTGATTTTCAAATTGTGTTAACAAGCCCAGTGTATGGGATTCCAGTACATTTCATTATAAAATGACCTTTATATTAAATATGTTTCAGGAATCATAATCAGGCCATTAATTGTGGTAGAGTTTGCAGCTTCTACCCATTAATCCAAAGAAAAGAGTTCAGTACGGAGTATTTCCTTTTTTGCTCAGGACCTCATTTTGGGCCCCAAGCTGTCTTTTATAGACCATAGTCTCCAGCCAGACGTGGACAAGTCTTAGTCAACAATAAATTGCCCTCAGTACCAAAGAAGTCCTCCAATATCTGCAAATGTCCATGAGAGCTGTAAGACCCTTGCTGTCCTTGCTGAGAAGTACATCCCACGGGGACAAAAAAAAAAACAAACCTATGTATTCTCAGTTCTCTTGGAGGACAGTAGAAAGAGCATTTCGGCATCCGCTGCCCGCACCAGTTAGTACAATTCTGTCTTGTGTTCTAAATAATTCTACTCCCCTGGCCCAGAGTTCTACTGGCTTTAAGAAGTCCAAAATGATTTAGCTCAGCATTTGCCTCTGCATCACATGAGAACATTATTTTCTGATGGTAGTAAGCTACTCAGGAAAACAAAGTACAATGTCAGGTGCCAACATTCTGATATATTTATTCATGTTTGTATTTGTGGAGGGAAACTTTTTCCATGCTACAAAGTTGTGTTAGAAACAAGATACTACAAATCAATAAAGAATAGCTATAGTTATTGCCTATTATAAACAGAATAACAAACAGAAAACAAACAGATACAACTAATTTGGTATACACAGACATTCAATTGTTTTCTGCTCTAAGACTGATATGAACACCACCATTTTAATTCCTTTATGGCATTTTCTCTGGAGATACAATTTTTTTTTTTGAGATACAATTTCTTATTGCCCATTGCTTTGTGATTCTCTTACCAGTTCAGGTTTGTAGCATACCAAAGAATTACAGAAAACTGTTTTTCTACCAAAGGGGAGCTATTTGCCGCCATGTGGTCATTCATATATTACAATGAAAAAGAAGCAAGGTACAAAAATTAATGTACACTTGTGCATTCATATATTACAATGAAAAAGAAGCAAGGTACAAAAATTAATGTACGCTTGTGCACACACGGAGGTGTCTCTGTGTGTGTTTTGGGTATGTGTCTAATGTGTGCTGAAGCCTGGGAATACTGAGTATGAAAGGCTTTTAACTAGCTGGTCATCAAAATCATATATAATAGCTATTAAAAACTCACTTAGCTAGCAGCATGTAAATCACTGGGGTTGGTTACTCAAGGACTAGACAAACAGATTTCTTGGATACTGTTTCCACTTGGGTTTTCCAGTTCATATGGTTCCAGCTGGCGGTACTCAAAAGTCACACGATTTATGTGCTTTCCGCTGGACACCATGCGCACCACCGTGTTGTCACAGCCAATTTTCATTTGGGCTATAATTCATGAAAAAAGTAAAAGGTTCCCTGCAGGTTAGAAACCATACAAACCATTTCCATTGATAAGATCATTTAAACACAAAGAAAGCGAGGGGATGTAGCTCCTCTCACATACTCAAACCATGCGCCTGCCATCAGGTAAAAAGTTCTGTTTTCATTTTTATTATAATATATAATTAATTGTAGAATACTGAAAGTGAACTCAGTTTTCCTCATGTGCAAAAACACTGTTAGCCAAATAAAACTGGCTGGAGGGGCGCCTGGGTGGCTCAGGCTTAAGTGTCTTCAGCTTGGGTCATGATCCCCGGGTCCTGGTATCGAGCCCCGCATCGGGCTCCCTGCTCGGTGGGGAGGCTGCTTCTCCTTCTCCCACTCCCCCTGCTTGTGTTCCCTCCCTTACTGTCTCTCTCTCTCTGTCAAATAAATAAATAAAATCTTAAAAAAAAAAAAAAAGCAAACAAAAAACTGGCTGGAAAGAAGAGTTAAAAAGAAAATCACAGGGGGAAGAAAAGAAAGAAAATCACGGGCCCAAAATGGTGCCCTTTAGGCCAAGGTATAAAACTGGGGCTTAATACCTAATCTAACTGTAATTTCAACCTTCCCCAGAAAGGTAGCCTTAACCAGTCAGTCAGGAATTTTTCTATCAGTGTCAGTGAGTCAGCTGCAGGGGCCCTCTCCATCCCCCAAAAGGAGAATGAGGCAATCTGCGTGACAAGACACCTTGCTTTTCCCCCTAAGGGAAGGTGCCCTTGTCTGGAACAATCTTTTTCTTTTGCCAAATTTCTTGCCCCGCCCTCCTTCTATAAAAACCTTCCATTTGGTACAATGCCTTGGAGACCCCTCTACCTGCTAGATGGAATGCTGCCCCATTCATGAATTGTTTACTAAAGCCAATGAGATCTTTAAAATCTATTCAGTGGAATTTTTGTTATTTAACAGAGGCAATAAGATGTCTCTGCACTTTTCATGTTTTCCTACCTGCAAGGCTTCGGTAGTGCAGGCAAGCTGTCTGTCTACCCGTGCACCTCTGCTCTAGCTCAGTGTTCTCAGCAAGAGCAGTGCCGCCCTCTAGGGACAGGTTGGAAATTTGCAGGGGCAGTTTGTGGTTGTGTTATCTGAGGAGGCCAAGTGGCATTTAGTGGACAGGGCTAGAGGATGAAGTGTACTGCTGGATTTTATGCCGACTAAAAAAAAAAAATCACCCATTTATTATTTTCTGAGCCTAGATAATAACTCTGTTTACATAAAAGCAAAAAATAATTTGCAGAGTTTAGATATACACTAATATAGTTGTTTTTGTTCTATTGTTCGCCTATACCTTTTGACTCATTTTTTCTGTGCTTCTTATATGGAATGGCTTTTGATATCTTTACTTATCTTAAATCCAATCTTATTCATTATTTGTTTTTTTAAATTGTATTATTTGTGTAAGCATCTGGCAATGTTTATGTATATCTTCTAGTGCAGCTGTGACCAAACACGTGTACGTTGAAACTCATAGTAGTTTTATCGAAAATTTCTTTTATTTCTCCCTTCAAGCTGGGTCCTGAGGCAAGATTTATCTGCCTGACAATAATTTTTTCTGTTGTTTTAACTCTGTCTATCTCCCCCCCGCCCCTTGTCTCTGTCAGGCCTACATCCTAGGAAACACTAGCATTATTATTGCATGACAAATGAAGTAAAACAGCCAGATACTTAATTGAGATAAAAGTCAATTTAGAGACATAACAAATATAAACCCTATAATTATTTTTATATAAGCACCTGGGAGTCTAGGTTAAGCTTCTATGAGGAGGTCCAAATTTAATTTTCTTTACATGATTTGGAAGGTTATTCTTTTTCTGACCTTACTCTAAACTTTAATATATATAACAGGATCCATTTCCTTTGTTATGTGCACCTGATTTACTTATTATTTGACATAACTGCACCAAAATTACTCTGGTTTCAATAACCTAAATTTTAAGGCACAAGTATTTCTTAGACCTTAATCTACTCTTCTTACCCAGAGCAAATGCATCTCCTCACAGGTGCCCTCCTGCATGGAAGGATCCAGTGCTTCAGAGAACACAGTAAGAGGCAAGAAAAGCCACATGTACTGACAGTTTAAACCAGCAATTCCCAGCCACCCTCACCCCGCCTGACCATCATCCAATGGAAAATCATCACTGATCCCTCACAAAGAATATCTGGTTCTGTTTGGCATGCTGTGTACTAAACTGGTCTTTCACTACCAGTGACCACTTTTAGGTTTCAGAATGTATTTCTGTTTTTGCACTGGTCTTCCAGAGGCTGCTTTTGCCCCTAGAAGTTGGGGACATTCAGTAGTTCTGAGAATTTCTAATAAAGCATATAACTTTTTAATTTATGTACTATGAGTAATATCCACATACACATTCCATATATATATATATATGGAAAAGTTATTCAGCAATTATGCCATTATTTAAACAAGATATTACTTTTTTATTATACTCTTACTAACTGATGATACATCTATCTGAAGCATAGTTTTCAGTTAGTAAACTCTTTAGTCTCTAGAGGATGAAAGCAGGCACCTTCAAGAAGGTGGAAAGAGCACAGAACATAAAAACTGTCATTTTCATGGTTTTCTAGGGCCAACCTTAAAAACATACCCTTCTTTCTTCAAAGGGTCCTCTCCCAGGTTCAGATATTTTGGTAATGCCTTGTCGCTACCATACATATGCTCAAATGTAAAAATCCTTACATTGGCTCAAGGTGCAAAATGCAAATTTTGGGGGTGGAAATTGCCTTCCTATGTATAAAAAAATCTGAGGTGTTTTATTTAAGGAAGTATCAAGTTTTATTTAAGGAATCTTGACAGGCTCATAAATAATAATCAAAGAAATATCTCACCAGGGCCATGAAAGGAATAGCAGAGGTCAGCCAAAGGCATCATCTTGGAAGGGTCCAGCCCAGGTCCTCCCAGCAGCTCCACAAAGTCTCCTATTCCCCCACAACCTGCTGAGGGGTTCTAAGAGAATAAAGCAGCAGAGGAAGATATATTTCAACCAATTACAGAAGTCAGACCATTTGACCAACCGCAAGTTGGTGAATTCCCTCAATCAGTCTTGCCATGTTGGCGGTGCCATTTAATTGAACATCCAGGACTCCGGAAATGAAAAGACATTTATAAGGAAAAAAAATCATAAGAACTGCTCTTCTAAATCAGTTGAGTAATCATTTTCTTTAAATGTGTGTGCATTTTTAAAAAAATGTTATAATCTCAAGGACCGGAATGATGAAATGGGAATCTGTAAACGCCACATAAAATGAATGAGAATTGAATCTGAAAATGCTTTGCTTTTTAAGTCATCTGGACATACATACGGAATTATTCGAATTTCTTAATGCATGCAGTCAGCATTTATAAATAGGGCTTTCACATCAGTTTTTCCTTCAACTCACCTCTTTTCCTCTTCTTTAGAAAGGACTTCGCCTGCTCTTGGGACAATCCTTATCATTTCTACTAACGGGCATTTAGATTAGTTCTAAGAATGTTAAAGAAAGAATAGAGCCCTCCTTTGGGGCTCAAGGTAGGTAGACTTATCAGTGTCTTTCTCCTCCCAACTAAAACAAATTTATTTCAAGCTACTCAAAACCAGAATGTATTCCAGAATGTAATCCACTGTTAACTGTTTTCCACTTCCCTTCATCCTTTCCACCCTGCCTTGTCCACAGCAATTCCTACATTTCACTTTTCCACAAAAATAAAGCAGCTACTCTCAGTCCCAAAGGTTGCCCTTTGGGCTACCCAGCTCCTGTGATCAGGGCTGCTGGCCTCGTCGGCATGGCCCCCTGTGCCCACGGGCCCACACTTAAAAGGGCCTTGTGCTTGGCTGAAGGCTCTGCTGTCACCATCCTGAAATTCCTAATAACTCTAAAATAAGGGCCCGCACATTTTCATCTTGCACTGTCCCCCATAACTACATAGCCAGTTTTGCCTGTGATCCTCTCCTTCACTGAGGCACACTATCACGAGATCTAGTGCAGAGTGGCAGGGTGCTCAGAGGTGAACCAGGTAGACCCTGCCACATAGCGAACAACATCTAAAATAGAAAATGTTAGGGGCACCTGGGTGGCTCAGTCGGTTAAGCGTCTGCCTTCAGCTCAGGTCATGATCTTGGGGTTCTGGGATCGAGTCCCGCATCGGGCTCCCTGCTCAACGGGGAGTCTGCTTCTCCCTCTCCCCCTGCTCTCTTGCTCTCTCTCTCTGTCTCAAATAAATAGTCTTTAAAAAATAAATAAAATAGAAAATGTTAAACACACACATACATAAATACACACATTCAAACATCTAGAAGACACTGAAATGCAACTAGAACTAAACAACTTAGGAAATAATATATAACACCAACTGTTTGGCTAATACAAGGAAGGAGGTGAGGACATACATTTTTTAAGTGCCTACTCTATCTTGGGTCCAATGCTTAGATGCTCTACACATAATTTCATCCAATAATGAAAGAGAGGCTTAATTAGCCCTCCTGTGTACAGGGCTCATGCTCTTGTATCAAGAGTTGAGTGAGAGGTGAAGGAAAAAAATCTTAATTGCCTCTCCCTTCAGGAGAGGATGTCCAGGGGGAACATCCCTTAAGACGAAACTTTCCACTTGGTTCTTCAGGTTCTAAATTTCAGCAGGAGGTGGTGAAGGGGAAAGGCAGGCCCCAGAGAGAGAAATGGGAAGTAAGGAAGTTGGGAAGAAGTAGGAGCTAAAATGAGGGGAACCAAAAAGAAACAAAGAAGTTGGACACACCTGTTCCTTGACGTGCAATGACTTTGCTCTGCTCTTCCCAAACCTCTCAGCTAGTCTTAGGAATGAGAAGGATTACACTACTCTGCTGTGTTCAGCTCCTCGGCAGTGAGCTCCTAGATTTCTCTGTTGAGGTTCTGGCTCTCTGGACTAAGCCACTACCATCTCTTGCCTAAACTGTGACAGTGGCCCTTCCTGCACCACTCTGGCCCCCACAGCCCCTTCACCAGCCAGAATGGCCTTTAGGTAATCCTCTCCCTCCCTCCACACCCCGCCCCCCCACCGCCGTGGACCTTGTTAATTAACTGGGTCACGAGATCAGCATTCCCAACCACCCTCACCGGACCTGAGCATAATCAAATGGATTATGTCGCTTTCCTGCCTGTACCCCTTCGGTGGTTTCCCAGTGCACTTAGAATAAACTCAAACTCCTTCATATGCCCTGCTGGGCTCTCCATACCCTGGCTCTGCCCTTCTCCCTGATGCTGTCCAGTATCCTCCCCGGCTCCCCCACCTTTCTTTCTATTTCTAGAAACCAGCAAGCCCATTCCTCCCTCTGAGTCTCTGCATTATTGTCCCCTGTGTTCCTGGCTCTTCCAGGGGCTGCTGGCTCCTTCCTACCTATCACTCACATTTTACTTTAAACATCTCCTTCTCGGAGGTTTTCTTTCCTGACCACTTTACCTCAAGGAACTCCCCACCCCTCCCTCTACTCCCTTGTCTATCACAGCACTCTGCCTCATTTTCTGTTGGGCACTCATCACTATTTCGAATGCACTTTTGCTTATTTCAACCCACCAGAATGCAGGTTCCATGTGAGCAGGACCGGTGTGGTTCATTGCTCATTTCCAGCATCTAGAATTAGTGCCTTGCACATAGGAAGAACCCAGAAAATATTTTGTAAAAGAAGAGAGGTTTAGAACACTGCAGACTTCAACATTTTTTCAAGGGGAAACGCCAAGATTACTCCTCACAGCCAAGAACTAACGTGCAGATCTCCCAACCTGGAATGGTGCTTGCCGTCCATCTTTTGTGGTAAACATCAGGACTGACATACAAACAATCTCAGGCCAAGAGGGCTATGCCAAAGACATCGCTTATTCTGGTCTTTATCAAAGGATTATTCTTCTACTAAGGCCCAATCAAAACAAACAAACAAACAACAACAACAACAACAAAAAATAGGCACTGGCCCATGAAATTAGGGCTTAATGGAAATTAGATATACACCTTTTTTCAGTGCTGGTCCTACTTATTTGGTTTTCACTGAAACCTGCCTGATTAGGAACAATGAGTGTCTTTGATGTCAGCAAATATACGAGCCATCTTAACCAAGGAATATGAAAAAGTGAAAAGAAATGAGAATGACTCAGAGTGAAGAAGCCGACAGTACCAAAAAAAAAAAGTGGTCAAACTCAGCATTAATTGTGAAGTCCATATAGAAGTTCGTGGAAATACAGACTGATAGAGATTCTCAACTAATATTTTCATGCAAAATGTATTGAACTAAATGTAATGTGAAGAAGGGGTGCCTGGGCTCAGTTGGTTAAGCGTCTGCCTTTGGCTCAGGTACTGATCCCAGGGTCCTGGGATAGAGCCTTGCATCGGGCTCCCTGCTCAGCAGGCTCCCTGCTGCCTGCCACTCCCCCTGCTTGTGCTTACTCTCTCTCTCTGACAAATAAATAAATAAAATATTTTTTAAAATGTAATATAAAAAAATCTTCAAAACTTTACTGTATTTTGTAATATAAAAATCCAATTTTGTATTTTATGCTACACTTAGCATTCCTTCATCACACAGTTCTGTCACTGAGATACTTCCTTCATGTCATAAAAAAATGCCAATAATCAGAAAAACAGCTGTGTAGATGACTCACACTAGGTTCTGCTAGGAGAGAATTTTCGTAAAAGAGGCAAGTACAAGAGAGTTCAATTGTAATTATATGCCACAACTTTCCCAATTGAACACATTTCTTACATCACAAGAGAAGTATTCAAGTAATCAGAAGGGGCACCTGAGTACGCAACATGCGGTGTAAGGGAAATAGAAGGGGGCTTTCATCAAAGCAGCGAGGGCATAGCCCATGTGGGACTGACAGCCAGCAGAAGGACACACGCCCGCAATTTGCTGATGTCCACATTTACCCTGTATGTTTCCTCCTCCTCTGATAAAGCTGTGGCCTCAGTAAATGATTGGGAAGTAAGAAAGCAACTTACCTTGAACTGCATTCCATTTAAGTGTCCCAGGGTGAGATCTGATATTTTGATCGCCACAGGATAAATTATGGAGAAGCTGCAGTTTTGCCGCAGATGCGGGACAACCAGAGTAAACCTTCCACTGGGGGTCTGGGAAATCACATTGCAGGCTTTGTGGAAAAACAAAATCACATTTTCACTATTTGGTATGCTGGGTTTTCATAGAAATTTATCTTATCCTTATTCTAGGCTCCTACTCATGGTCTAGGGCCCTTGTAGCCTGGACAAGAATAGGTATCACAAGGGCAATTTGGTACCGGGAGGCAAGGGGGCTTCTAATCTCAATCTCAAGGAGTTACCTTGTTTACAACAATCATAAGACATAAAGTAATAATCAAACAACACTAGCTAGTAGAAGTTTTAGAAACACTTCATTAACTAGGGTCCAAACTTGAGCTGTAAATCTGAAAGAATAAAAGCTCAAAGGTGAGGCCAGAACTCAAACCCTGCCACCTGAAAGCTTCATTCACTGAACTTGGAACCATAATAATCATATTTTTAAAATAATGAAGTCAATAAATAAAAAAATAGTTACAAAACAGGCTGAGAAAAATAGAAAGCAGGCTTATGTCTGAATAAATATTTGCTGGGTGTTAAGTGGTAACTTGACTAAAAGGTAAAATATTTTTTAAAGGTAAAATATTAATGTTTAACTTTATCGTAAGACTTTGATTTGTTTTGTATCTCAAATCTAGATTTATAATAAATTTATTCTCCTAACTATGAAACTAGAAGTATCAGAGTTTTGCTGATCATGGGCCAAAGATTTCTAATTGATCAGAATAGTCAGAACTACCTCTTTCTCCTTCCTATGTTTAAATTACACTTAATTTCAAAAAGAACTGAAATACCTTGGTGATTCTAGATTTCTGATTTCTAACCACACAAAATATAGAAGAAATATTTCATGTTGTTTTCTAGTGTTATTCTGCTCCAGTTCTCAAAAATGGACTCTCTGGGGGGCTTCTTTTTTAAAAAATAAAAATTGGAAGGCAAGTCAATACATTATTCTTTGGCAGATTAGACCCCATTCTTCCACCATTTGAAGTGTTAATACCATTGTGTGCAGCTAAAAATGATTTTTTTTTCTTTTCCCGATTTAAAAAAATATATATTTTTCTCTTAGTGGAGAAAAATAATAAGTAGTTGGTTCATGAACTCATTTGATTAGAATAACATGTTTTAGGCATGGGCTGTTCAGCTTTATAGCATCTGTGTGTGTATCCAACAGAAATGAAATTAGAGTGGTGGGCTCCAAATTAGAAAGCAATGCTGAGGTCCTTCAGTCCAACCCCCTGCTTAGGACATGAAATCTGTCTATCACATCCCAGATAGAGCCTTTGCCTAAATATCTCTAAGAAGGCAACCTCAGATCTGACTCATCAAGCTAATCCCAGATCAATGGAATGACTCAGAGGGATTAAAGTTTGTCACTGAATCCACTGTAGTGCCTCAGAAGATCAGAAAAAGACTAAAGAAAAAAAAAATAAAACTTTACCCACCAAAAATTAATATCCTACCTAGCCTGGGAAATCAATTAAAAACTGTGAATTGATTTTCGGAGTAATGACTAGGAAATATCCTTTAAGTCATTTCTAATGACAAAAGAATTTCCATTCAAATCATTCCTTGCTTCAAATTTCTTAAGCATGGTGCAATCACACTACCTTTGAAAAGCAGATCTGACACTCCCTCCAAGCCCTGCCTTCCCACTAAGAGAGGGAGTCCACTTACGAAAGAGGTTGGGATCTGTCTTTATGGTGAAGGTGAATCCATTTCCTGGTTCATGAACCCGGAAGAAGATCATGGCCACATTCTGGGAAGATCTGATGCTCCTTCGGCTAAGACCACTGTCACAGAAATCTATGTATCGCTCAGTTGTGGGGAGAGGATGATCCTGGGAACTGGGGAACTTCTCCCCCTTAAGAATCCAACCATCAAATACCTTCCAACAAAAAAAAAAACACACAGATGTAGATGATCATTTCCATCAACTCCTGAAGTCACAGGTGTGTTGGAAAGGGGGGGGGATAAGTTACCTAGCAATGAGCCTTCAGTCCTAAGTGGGCAACTGACAGCCTGCACTCCCCTGCCCACTTGCTTTCCATCTGTATATATATTTTGACCAATGCTTGTTTGCAAGTAGTATTATTAATGATTTTTTTCTTCATAAACCTTAAAGTATCCAAAGTAAGTAAACTTTGTTATACTCTATTTTATAATTTCAGCCTCCTTGGTGTGAAACTGTAGACAATATACATGTTTCTCTTGGTCATATTTTCCACACATCCCATCTTCAGAAGAATTCCACACAAGCATAATTTGGGTGTCAGCTTTCTCTTCCTTCTCCATGTCAACATATTGACAAAATATCTCAAAACTAGCAAAAGCAAAAAACAGGAGCAGCAACTTTACCTACTTGCCAAAGGCTGTAATACGCCCATTTCCCTCATTTTGTCACTCTTATTTCACATTAAACTATCAAGAACTACTTCCACACTCAGATAGCAATGGCTGTTATGCCACTTAGGACCTTTTTTCCCCTTCACTTTGTTAAAGTTTGTGGTTAGATAAAAGGTCAGGGTCGGACTGACAGTACTCCTGAAATCACCACAGGTCTCCAACTGAGTGAGTCCAACCTAGTTCACATTCGCAGAATCCCCGGCTACAAATTACTTCATCACACTTAGTCGTCTTGTAAGGACTTGGACAGATTCCAAAATCACTCCACCTGGGAGGTTCTCGTCATGACCATTGCAACGGGCCCGCGTAGCCCCATCAGCCGGCCCCAGCTGGCCGGTCAGACTCACGCGGACGACTAGCAGTGGGCGTGTGGTACGCTTGGGGGACTTGTCCTCGCCTCCCAACTGCCTCAGACTAGAGACCCCCTCTCAGCATCCGTCGCAGCCGCCAGAGCCCTCCTGCTTCCAAACCGGGTCACCTGGGCACTGAGGGCGGCCTCCGCGAGCCGGGCACAGCTCCACAGAAACGCCGGCCGGCCTTCGAAGCTGGGCGGGCCCTCCAGGCGGCCCCGAGCCGCGGTGCCAGTTAGTTGGTATCATTTTTCATCTAACACAGCGCCTCACGCCGCAAGTTCAAGTCTTTGGAAGCGCGGGATCCCGGGAGCGCACGGAGGGGAATTTAAAAGCAATGCAATGGGCGAGGCCTGGGGCCCTCGGGTGCGGGGCGAGGTTCGCTCGGTCCGGGAGGCGCTCTGCCCCTCGGGCACTAGCTCCCCGCCCCGCAGCCCCCCGCTGGGCACCGCACCCCGGCCCGTCCCCCCTCAGGGCCCCGCGGCGGGGGGCCGGGTCGCCTCACCTTCAGGAAGTCGCCGCCCTGACAGTCGATGGAGACCAGGTCGTAGCGGATGGTGATGAACTCTTCGGGCTCGGCGATGAGGAAGGCGGCGCAGTGCAGCTGCGGCCGGTCGGCGGTGAAGGTGAACTGGCCCGGGAGGCTCAGCATGTCCAGGCACCCTGCGGGAGGGCAGCGGGGGCCAGAGCTGCGGCCACCGAGGCACCGGCTCCCGGGCAGCCCGTCTCACGTGCCCCGTTCCCGACTCCCCGACCCCGGCGGGCGCGCCTCCTGTCCCCAGCGGGACCCCGAGTTGGGAATCGCACCCCCACCCCGGCGCTGCCCGGGGCCTCCTGCCCTGGCGCAGAGCCCAAGCTCGCCACCTCCCCGCTGCCCGCCGCCGCGCGCCGGCAGCCCGGACTCACGCAGAGCGCGGCGGTACAGAGGCGCCCCCGCCAGCTCCCGCTTCAGGCTGGCGCCGAAGAGCAGGAAAGGGTCGTGGTCCGCCGCTTCCCGCAGCTGGCAAGGAAGACGAGTCAGTCGGGAAAGTTCAAGACGTGGGAAAGGGGACTGGCAGCGGGGCACTCTCCCTTCCCCGCAGCAAAGAGAATAAAGTGACGGAATACGTCTCCCGCGTCCAGAGAAGAAAAGGTCTTAGACCCTTTCCAGGAGACCCAGGTATCCCCAGGGGCCAAGGGAAGGACAGAGAGAGGCAGGGAGGAAGACCAGTCCAGGGGAAACCAGGAGAAAGAAGGGGCAAAAGATAGGCAAGAAAGAGCTAACCCCAACAAAGGCTGAGAGCTGAGGCAGCTTATCTATCCCCCAAGGCTGGACACACACACAGAAGATGTGATGGGTCAGTCCGGAGATAGCTCACCTCTAGGTACCGGTTCTCCCCTCTTAGAGCCATCAGGAAGATCAGAATGAAGTGACACTGAAGTTTGAAAGAAGGAGACATGCTGGCCTGGCTTCTGCAGCTGGTATGCTCCTCCCTGAAGGTCTCAGGCTTTGCTTCCCACACCTTCGCCCAGGCTGAGAGCTAGAAGCTGGTAGGGTCCCTTTGCTGGGTCTCTTTTATAGAGCAGTGAGGAGGGGAGGCTCTCTGCCCCTTAACTGATCTGAGCTCAGTAACCATGGGTTACTCTGTCTCAGTGACAAAGTGCGTGCTGATGACGAGGGTCCCCCTCTCAGCCACAAATTTTCAGAGTGGTCCAGCATTATTCACCGAGAATGATTTCAGGCACTTACAACTTATTGAACTAAACTGTGGGAGAAAGAACGAGGTAAGGCTAGAGAATAAAGGAGGGCATTGTGTTGGATCTGCCAAATGCTGAATTATCTCCTCCTGTGGATATTTAGGGAATTCTCGGTGTTGCAAAGCAAAGTGACAAAGTTACATGCATAAAATACACAAACACTTATAACCTTATCATGCAGGCTTATCACAGAGCCTTGGATGGAATCATGCTGGAAACTATCAGAGAATATGGTATTCATGCAATTGCTCATGTCTCTCAGGAAAAAACATGAGATGTTTTTAGTTCCAAACAGAAGCTGAAGTCTGATTTTGCAGAAGATGGCAATAATCCAACCCAAGGTTGCTTTCTCTCCCTTCGTCTTTGCTTTATCCTGGTCCAGTTTCTTGTAAGCATTTCCCTAATGGAAAGCTAACTCAGGCACCTATGAACTTCTGGATTTTAGCTGAGCTTTGTCATTCAGCCTAAATGTATACATGGTAGGACACACACCTGGGCCAGGGTGCTGTGACCATGACCTTGGCATCCATCTGAACCAGTGAGAGATGAAGTCATTGTATTTCACACCTTCAAATACTTAGATTATTTTGATATTCTGGTAGAAAGAACTGCCCAGAAGCTTTATTATAACTGCTTATCAGCAAATGTACAGGGCTAACAAATGACTTAGAGATCCAGAAATAAGCATCTTTGCTGATTAGATAGAAGACAGTTGTTTCCCCTTTATGTCAAAATTTGTGGGAAATATGGGTATGCTAAAAGTTTGGCTTTCCAGTTTATGTGCTAAGCAATGCAACTACAAATTCTAAAAATATCATGTTGTTCTACCTCTCTCTGCCTGATAGAAAACATGATACTACCTTTAGCTTTCTTTGTTATTAAAATTAGTACAAATAATGAGACCATAATACACGTTTTCACTCAAGGAAATGGTTATATTTTTAGTTTATAAATACTCAAAATTAAGCAGTAATTTACCTAGTAGTGTTGGAACTTGATATTTTCATATTTAAGACTATTTGAGCTCTAAAGGGGCTGCCCCTTAATTGTTCAACTGGGAGGCCTTCCTACCATACTCCAATTTTGAAAACAGTCCTCAGACCACAAAGAGCCTGAAGGGGAAGGGTACCCAAAGGTCATGAACCCTGGGCACCATGTCCTTCTCCCCATCTTGGGACTGTTTAGATGTCTGAATTTCAGAGAGGATATAAAGAAACCTAAGAGGAATAAAACAGTAGAAAAATACATGGTTTAAGACCAGTTTGCCTGGCCTCAAACATGCCAGGCCATCTTCAGGCCTCTCTCCCTCACTGTTCGTGCCTGAGGAAGCTCAGGCACACTCATCCCACATGCCATGGACGCATTTTCCTTTTCTGTCAACCTAGCCATGGCCTTGGCCCGCTCCCAGGATTGAGCCCAGCACTCGGCTTTAGAGACTCCTGCTTATCCCACTTTGGGGGTCTGGCTTTGGTAGCATCCCCATGGAGATAGTCTTCTATCTCCTTCTGCCCCTTCACACACACACACACACACACACACACACACACACACACACACACACCAATTGATGTTCCTAACATGCAGTCGTGATGTTTCCTCATCAGGAAGTACATATAGGAAGAACTGGGATCATATGAGGGCAAACATAGCCACAGGTAGATAATATTCTATTTTATATAACAACCCACAAATTATCACATAGGGATGAACTTTATTTCCACAAAAGGTGTCATGTTCACCAGCTTGGCAAATATCTACTAATCCAGCAGAAATTGTTTTTTGTGGTTTTTTGTTTTTGTTTTTGTTTTTTGATTAAGAGTAACAACAGGAGAAGATGTTTGCAAATGATATATCTGACAAGGGGTTACTATCCAAAATATATAAAGAACTCATACAAGTCAACATCAAAAAAAAAACCCAAACAATCTGATTAAAAAATGGGCAAAGGACACCTGCCTGGCTCATGCAACTCTTAATCTTGGGGTCGTAAGTTTGAGCACCATGTTTGGTGTAGAGATTACTTAAAAATAAAATCTTAAAAAAAAAATAAAATGGGAAGAGGAGCTGAATGGTTATTTTTTACAAAGACATACAGATGTCCAACAAATATACACGAGAAGAGGCTCAACATCACTCATCACAAAGTTAAGTGCAAATCAAAATCACAGTGAGGTAGCACCTCATGCCCGTTGGAATGGTTAAAATCAAGAACACAAGAAACAACAAGTGGAGAGGATATGGAGAAAAAGGAACCCTCATGCACTATTGGTGGGAATGTAAACTGGTATAGCCACTGTGGAAAACGGTATGGAAGTTCTTTAAAAAATTAAAAATAGAAGTACCATATGATCCAATAATTCTACTATTGGGTATTTACCTGAAGAAAATGAAAACATTAACTTGAAAAGATATATGCACCCCCTGTTTATTGAAGTATTAAATATAATAGCCAAGACATGGAAGCAACCAAAGTGTCCATCAACAGATGAACAGATAAGGAAATGTGGTATATAGACACGATGGAATATTGCATAGCCATAAAAAAGAATGAGATGGTGCCATTTGAGACGACATGGATAGAGACTAGAGGGTATTATGCTAAATGAAATAAGTCAGCCTGAAAAGGACAAATATCATACGGTTCCACCAATCAATCAACAAACAAAAAACAGAATCAGAACTGTAAAATACAGAGAATAAACTGATGGTTGCCAGAGGGGAGCAGGGTTGGGTGAAATGGGTAAAGGGATTTCTAGTTATGGAATGAGTAAGTCATGGGAATAAAAAGCAGAGCATAAGGAAGGCTGTCAATGATACTGTAATAGTGACTTAACAGGACAGATGGTAGCTACACTTGTGGTGAGCATAGCATCGTGTATAAACTTGTCAAATCACTAAGTTGTACACCTGAAACTCATGCACCATGTGTCAACTCAAACAAACAAACAAACAAAAAAGGAGTAAGTAAAGTATAAAAACTAGAACCTATAGGGGAAAACTAAGAAGATTGAAGAGGGGTCAAAGAGAAGCCAAGCCAGGTAAGCATTCTCTATGAGCAAAAGTATAAAAAAAATGGGTGAAAGCAATGGGAGAGTAATTTGGATGAGACAGAAGAAAAGTTTCTGGAAAATAAGTAGGTCTATATCCACAGACAAAAGAGGAATTGTTTTCATAAAAACATGTTTTCATGTTTTCAAACAACTAGTGTAATATTGCAAAGCCATTTGTTCAACCAAACTGACCGGTTATTTTGAAATACATTCTTAGTAAGCCCAGAGTCCCTAATTCTGGAAATTAGGGTTGGAAATTATCTGCATATTCACCTCCATTCTCTGTACACATTTTTTTTTCTCTCCATATTTTTTGAGACAACCTCTTTAATGTTGATGTTGATACAGTCCCTGATCAGTGCTTTTTAGGTCTTAAACTACTGTTGGGTGGGGTTAAGACATTCTTTTTGTTAGGTAGGATTAAGACATTCTTTCACAAATCCCCAGAGCAAACTCACCTGTGTTAAGTCTGAAGGTCAAGGTGGCCACACAATATAGATTCATATTCAATTCATGAACATGGGCAGTGGGGGTGGGATTTTAAATTGTGCTGAGACTGAAGAGGCTCACCCAGACAATTTCTAAGTATGCAGGGGGGCACTCTGTAGTCACCCACATGGTCTATGATGTGACTGTGACAGCCAAGTGTAAGCATATGGAGTCTGCAACATCTTATACACTGAGGTATCAGGAAAAGCAGGAGATTACATAATCCCGAATCTCTTTCTATTGTAGGGTCAATCCCAAGACCCCCTTAAGTATTCCCTGCTTGTAGTAGTAAACTTTTTCTTTTGTTAATCACTTCAATAGAGAACACCATAGATACATGCTTTAGAAGACCTTCCTTTTTCCTTTCCTGACTGATATGTTGAAAAGTTGGGAAATGGTACATATGACTGAGTTCTTTAAGAAATAAAGATGACATGAGGTCCCTGGGTGGCTCAGTTGGTTAAGCATCTGCCTTCAGCTCAGTTCATGACCTCGGGGTCTTGGGTTTGGACTCCCCATTCTCTGCTTCTGCCTCTTTCCCCTCGCCCTCTGCCTCTCCCCCTGCCTCTTCCCCTGCTCGTGCTCTCTCTCTCTCTTGCTCTAATAAATAAAATCTTTAAAAAAAAAAAAAAAGAAAGATGACCGAATAAAACTCATTGTTAGCCAACAACAAATAACTAATTTTCAGTTGCATTCAAGCTGACTTGCTATTTGAATAAATTTGGCTATTTTTTAATGCAACCATTTTTAATAGATAAGATTTCTTTTTCAGATGTGTTTGAGATCAGGAAGGAAGAAACTAAACAAATACACTTGGGGAACTAGTATAAACCAACCTTTGAATGAAACACTCATGTGTCAGTGATTTTCAACCCAAATCCATTATCTTCTTTTGTTCTGCATAAGATGACCAGCAGTGATATGTGGAACTTAAGAAACAAAACAGAGAATCAGAGGGGAAGAGAGGAAAAAAAAAACCAAGATGAAATCAGAGAGGGAGACAAACCATAAGAGACTCATAGGACACAAACTGAGGGTTGCTGGAGGGGAGGAAGTGGGGGATCGGGTACCTGGGTGATGGGCACTAAGGAGGACACATGATGTAATGAGCACTGGGCATTATATGCAACTGATGAAACACTGACCTCTACCTCTGAAACCAATAATACACTATATGTTAACTGAATTTAAATAAAAGTTTAAAAAAAAGATGACCAGCAGTGAGTAAAGATTAGGACTTGAGGGGGGGGTTGCAAGTGACTGATACCAAGTTTGAACTTAAGCAAAAAGGGGAACCATCAGGACACACGGACATCTTGCACACTGCATGGGCAGAACATTGGAGACAAGGGTTTGAATGCCTACTCTCCAGTCTCTCTGCCTCAGGCTGCCTTCCCCTCCTACGTGCAGTGTCTGTGGCAGTAAACTGGCCACCAACCATTCCTAAGCTTTACATGTTACCATTTGACAAATAAAAAAGCACCCTGAATCAATGTTCTCATCATCCCCAGTCCACACAGCTTGGTGGGAAAAG